CAATTCTTTGTTAATGTGCATATCCTTTCTACGGTACTATCGCTTTGGAAATGTGTTCAGATTGGTTTTCATGGTCAGAATAATAGAATTGAGCATATTTCAACTGTTTAAACAATTGGAAGCTTCTCTTGTAATGAATGGTTCTGAAATTTATTGAACAGTGAGCATCCAGTACTCTTGAGAGCATATGTTAATAGATAATGCTATTGCTGTGAATTCGAGAATGTTATCTTGATTCACAATTCAGTGAACATACAGGCCATTCAGTTTCATCATTGAGTATAAAGTGCTTATCGCTAGTTGTTTTTCCCATATCTTAATCTTACTGAAGTCCATTTGCTGTAGGCCATTCAGTTTCACCAATTAGAGTAAAAATGTAAAATGCTTATCTTTAGTTGCTTTTCGGCTTTTCCCATTTCTTAATCTTACTGAAGTTTGTTCTATAGTCTCATTGGATTGGGAAAAACTACTATAAAAGAGGACCCGATGGCAATGACATTCATAAGACCAATGTGCCACACATTCGGTTACAGTTCCGTGACATGGTACATAAACCTTTACGAGATTTTGTTTTTCTTCTCCTTGCATTTTTCTTTTAGATGAAATGAAAGTATTAGATCATCAATTTTGTTCTCTCATTTAAAATGTGCAGATTTGGAGAGAGGAGATGCAACTGGTTTATCTAGGCAAGGCTAAAATACCTGACGAAATTGATGGATGAGGTGGTTATTATTTGGTCATTAAATCTTCAGAAAGTAGAATGCTTTTTATTTATCTGCAATTATCTAATCTTCAGTTGCTTTTACAGTATTATTATGCATGGAGTTGTCTGCCTTACTCATCTTCTGTTCAAAGGAACAGAGTTCTGTAGAAATCGAGTTCTCAGGGATAAGTTCCCTGTAACTGTGCAATTGGAGAAGTTACCTGAGAAAGAAAAAAAAAGGTGACTCAAGCTCTGAGAGAGGCCTCAGAAGATGGATATCGACTTACATAGTTGGAAGATAGTTACTAAGTGAATATAACCTCAGCCTTTCTTTGTACATCAACCCTCCAAAAGAAAATTTAGATGGGCCGCCTTCTGATGGTTTTTCAGTTAGGCCTAACAATAATATTGATGTAATATATTATATTTATTTATACAATGATAATTGCGTCATTTTTTTGGGGTGCTTCTCTTTATGCTTATTTCTTTTATTTATGAAGTTGTGACTGATAACAGTCCAGCATTAATATTTTGAGAGTTTAACATTGATAGAGCTTGCTGGACACCCAAAATAAGGTACAACAGCAACAACAATAATAACCTAACATTTATCCCAAATGCTTGGAGTCGTTACATGAATCTTATTCTTTTATTTCATTCAATTATAGGTCATCTCCTCCGTCAAGTTAGTTATAAGCCTATCTTTCTTAGTTGCTTTTTGTTAGATGTGAAAAAAGTCAGGGTCTAACCATTTCATTCATCCGCATGGGTTTATATAGGACTACATACGGGTAAATAGGCTAATGGGTTAATGGGTCTGGACCCATTAACCCAAATACTAATTCTAACACTCCCCCTCAAGCTGGAGCGTATATATTAACCATGCCCAGCTTGTTACACGGAATGGAAAACAGTGAGGTAGCTTTAGTGAGAATGTCAGCTAACTGTTCTGAAGACGGAGTGAACTGAAGAGAGATCACTTTCTTTTCCCAAGCATCTCTAACAAAATTACAATCAACTTCAATGTGCTTAGTTCTCTCATGAAACACTAGATTCTTTGCAATATACATAGCTGACTGGTTATCACAATGCATAAGCATAGATTCATGCTGAGTAAAACCAAGCTCTGTCAACAGCTTTTGCAATCATATCATATCACAAGCAGTGTGAGCTATAGCTCCGTATTCTGCCTCAGCACTAGATCCAGAAACTACATCTTGTTTCTTGCTCCTCCAAGTAACCAGATTTCCTCCAATAAAGGTGTAAAATCCAGAAGTAGACTTTCTATCTCCTATGTCTCCCGCATACCCAGCATCAGAAAATACAGAGATGTGTAAATTTCCTTATTTCTTATACAATAATCCTTTTCCAAGACAGCTTTTAACATAAGCTAAAATCCTTAGAGCATCAGTCCGGTGAACCTCTCTAGGTTTATGCATAAATCTGCTTAATACTCCCACTGGAAAGGTAATATCAGGCCTGGTCACAGTAAGATAGATCAACTTGCCAATCAATCTCCTATATGGACCTGCATCATCTATGAGAGGACTATTATCACGCCACAGATCCACATTCACCTCCATTTGGAGTGTTTGCTGGCTTACACCCCGAAAGGCCCTTTCTTCTAACAAGTCCAATACATATTTCCTTTGAGATAGAAGCAAACAGTCCCTTTGATATGCAATCTCAATCCCAAGAAAGTATTCGGGTTTTCTCATATCTTTGGTCACAAAGTGATGTGAAAGGTACTCCTTAGTATCAGCTAAGGGAGCAAGATCATTCCCAGTTAGCATAATGTCATTAACATATACTGTCAGAATCACCAAACTAGATTTAGTGTGTCGGATGAAGATTGAGTGACCAGACTGACACCTTTTAAAACCGACACCAGATATAGCAGTACTAAATTTCTCAAACCATGCTTGTGGATTCTGTTTGAGACCATAAATCACCCTTTTAAGCCTATAGACAATATTCTCCCCGTGAGCAACATACCCCGGAGGTTGCTCCGTATAGACTTCCTCCTGCAAGTCACCATACATGAAGACATTTTTAACATCCAGCTGAAACATGGTCCAGTTCAGATTAACAACCATAGAGAAAAGTAGGCGAATAGAATTGAGACGGGCAACAGGAGAGAACGTCTCAAGATAGTCGACCCCATAGGTTTGAGTATAACCCTTAGCAACAAGACGAGCTTTATAGCGATCAACCGAACCATCTGTGCGATACTTCAATATATAAACCCACCGACAGCCAACCACAGTAGCACCCTTAGGAAAAGGTACAAGATCCCAAGTCCCTCTAGAAATAAGTGCATTCATCTCCTCATCCATGACATGTTTCCAAGCAGGAACTAACACAGCCTCCTCATATGACCTAGGTAGAGATATAGAGGACAAGGACAAAGCAAATTGACGAGAAGAGGGAGTAAGACAAACATAGGAAACAAAATCAGATATAGAATGATTAGTACAAGACCGTTTACCTTTCCGATGTGCAATTGGAATATCCAGATGAGAAGAAATATAAATATTAGAAGGATGCAGACCTGCAACGGGAGATGATTGTTCGGTTGGAACAGAGAGAGGGACAAAAACTTTTGGACAGCGATAATACGTCAGTAGTGGCAGTGATGCAGGTGGCACAGTAAAGGCATCTTGTAATCTTGGAGAAGATCCATCAGCAGAAGGAACAGAAGAAAGCAATGGAACAGTAGTAGGAGCAATAGATAGAAGAGGTACACATGGATTGACAGTTTGGAGGTGAACCAGCCGAAGAGAAATATGGAACAAACTCAAAAAAAGTAACATCGGCGGACACAAAATACCTCCGGGTGGATGGATTATAACACTGATAACCTTTTTGGGTACGTGAAGATCCTACAAAGACACACTTAATAGATCGTGGAGACAATTTATCCAGTCCCGGAGACAAATCCTGAACAAAACAGGTACAACCAAAAACACGAGGAACCACAGGAAAGGGATGTTTCTTAGGATAAATGTAGGTGAATAGTATTTTACCATTAAGAACAGAAGAGGGCATCCTATTGATCAGGAAACATGCATTGAGAACAACATCAGACCATAAATACTTTAGAGCATTCATATGTATCATCAGGGTTCTAGCAACATCTAAAATACGTCTACGCTTCCTCTCAGCAACTCCATTTTGTTGTGAAGTGTGAGAGCATGAAGTTTGATGGAGAATACCCATATTTATTTTGTTGTGAAGTGTGAGAGCATGAAGTTTGATGGAGAATACCCATATTTGCACAAAAACGAGAGATATCATTTTTCTGAAGTGTGAGAGCATGAAGTTTGATGGAGAATACCCATATTTGCACAAAAACGAGAGATATCATTTTTCATGTATTCCAAGGCATTATCGGTATGAAGGATACGAATAGGGGTAAAAATTTGATTTTTGATTTCATTGTAAAACATTTCAAAAATAGTTGAAACCTCAAATCTCTCTTTTAATAGATAAAGCCAAGTCATACTAGAGAAGTCATCAAAAAAGATAATGAAATATTTATAACCTCTCACGGAAGGTATACGACAAGAACCCCAAACGTCAGAATGGACTAACTCAAACGCAGAACTACTGCGTTTATCAACATAACTCTGATAGGTAGCACGATGGTGCTTACTCAGCTCACAAGACTCACATCCTAAAGAAGAGACAGAAGACTGGATAGTAATGACTGACCGAAGCTTCGATAACGAGGGATGACCAAGACGTTGATGCCATAGTAAAGAATGACCAAACTTATCTGCAACAAGACCAGTAGCGGGCATATTGTCGGCCAAATAGTACATGTCTCCTCTCTCATACCCCGAACCAATCTTCATCCCAGTTGCTAGGTCCTGAAAAACACAATAAGAAGGAAAGAATGTTACTTTATAGTTATTGTGTTTGGTGAACTGACTGATGGACAATAAGCTAACAGGAAATTTTGAAAGATATAAGACGTCAGTAAGAGTCAGCGATGAAGTAGCATGGACTACTCCATCTTCAAGAACTGAAGAGTATGTACCATCAGCAATACGGACCGATGGAAATTTGTCAGAAAATTTTAAGGAAACAAAGTGGTCCTTTATACCTGTCATGTGAGAAGAAGCACCAGAATCTAAAACCCATGGTCTGTGAGGAGAGGCAATGTAGGCATCCATACCTAAAGAGGATGCATGAGTAGAAGAATGACTATTCTGAGAGGGCTCAAGTTGACGCAACTGGTCATACTCAGCCTGAGAAATCTGAACTGTGGAGGAAGCTAGAGTAGTTGTAGGAGAAGCAGCAGATGTAATATCAGCTATCTGGGCTCATGTAGGACGAACAAACTTTTTCCAGCACTTCTCAGATATATGATCAGTTCTTTCACAATGTTGGCATTGACGCATATTCCTATCTAAGTCAATTTTTCTTCCACCAAAAGAGTCTCATCCTCCACTTATGTCGCGGCCACGTCCCCGACCATGACTGTGACCTCTGCCACGTTCGTAGAACATAGAAGACTGATCAAGTGACGGAGTAGACGGTGTGGGTGATGCAGTAGTAATCCTAGTAGTTACATGCATAACTCTGGAGAAAGTAGCAGTTAAGGAAGGAATAGTATCTCCTCCTAGTATTTATCCCCGTATTTGAGACTGTAAAGTGGGACTCAGACCTGATAAGAACTTGGACACTGCTAGGTCCCGACGATATCCCAATAACATTGGTGCATCCATAACGGTAGGCTGATGCATCTCTAATTCATCGATCAGACCCTTCAGCTCACCAAAGTACTCAGGAATAGAGCGATCGTCCTATTTATGAGAAAAAAGTCATTCATATAGCTCTAATACACGGGATGCATTCTTCTCATTACCATACATAATTTTAAATTATCCCACATTTCTTTTACAGTAGTCGAGAACATGACACTGCTAGTGATATGTGCTTCCATGCTATTAAGAAAACAAGTCATCACACAACAGTCAGCAGATATCCATACGAGATATATAGGGTCAGCAGAAGCAAGAGGAGGAGCCAGAAGATGAGTTAATTTGTTTAGAGCTCCAATGAAGATGCGAAAGACCTGTGCCCAAAGGAGATAGTTAGTGCTATTTAACTTCACAATGGTACCCAAAACAACTTTGGGTGCAAAAATCTCAACAATAGTAGGTGTGGTAGTGGCAGCAGAAGAGATGTCAGATCACGTCATTGTTGTAGAACAAGATAGTACGGTAGTAGAAGAACCGTAATCTTCTTTTATAAAACTTGAAGGTTTGAATGAAAGACACCGAAGGTTAGTGTGCAAGAACCCAAAGGTTAAGATGAAACCCGAAGGTTAGAATAAAATACCCTAAGGTGAGTGTTCAAGAACCTGAAGGTTAGAATCCGAAGGTTAATCATTTAACTCAAAGTTTTTTTTGTTTTCGTTTTTGTTTTTGTTTTTGTTTTTGTTTTTGTTTTGTTTTGTTTGTTTTTTTATATTTATTTTTGTAGACTCTTTCATCAAGCTCAGACAAGCATACAAAAAGGTCAAACAAAAGAAGGCCCAACAAAAGAAAGGGCCAAACTCAACAAAAACAACAGCGGTAGAACTAAAAAATAAAAAAATAAAGAAAAGAACACAACAAAAGGAGGCCCCGCAGGCTAACCAAGCCCAAATCTTCCATGAGGCATCGGGAGCACTGAGAGGGATCCAAGGGCGGCGTTGGCGAGCTTTGAAGGAGATCTGGAAGATCCAAGGGCGGTATCAGAGAGCTTCGAAGGAGATTTGGGGTTGGTGAGCTTCGAAGACGATGACGAGTGAAGCAGCGACGAGCTTCGAAGACGATGGCGTGCTTCGAAGGAGATCTGGCAGCGGCGGCTCGCGAAGAAGACAAGGACTAGATGCCACCGCCGAGGATCGGGATCTGAGAGGAGGAAGACCGCCAATGGTAAGGGTTAGGGTTTCGTAGAACAACAATATTTTTTTTGTTTGACGGCTAGGGTTTTGGAGGCAGTAGGGTTAGGGTTTTGGAGATTTGCTCTGATACTATATTAGAAGTGAAAAAATCAGAGTCTAACCATTTTATTCATCCACATGGGTTTATATAGGAGTACATATGGGTAAATAGGCTAATGGGTTAATGGGTCCGGGCCTATTAACCCAAATACTAATTCTAACACTTTTAACCAAGTCATTTTAGATCTATATCTAGATCTATGTGCCCCATTAACTATAATATTATTATTTTTCCTAACCGGCGCACTAAGTGGTCGTCGTTGACTAAACCATCTTAATTTATTTTTCTCATTTTATCATCAGTAGGAGCAACCTCTAATTTACTACTGATGCACTCATTTCTTATCCTATCTTTTAGTTTATACCCACAAAATAATTGCAACACTCTCATTTCTGCTACACATTTTTTAAACATGTTATTTTTAAATTGCCTAACACTCTGACCTATAAAATATAGTTGGTCTTATAACTGTACTATGGATTTTTTCCCTTTAATTTCATTGGTATTCTACGATCACATAAAAAACCTGAAGTACTTCATTTTAACTATCCCAATTCTATCTCACCACCATGCTTAATAATTGATCTTAAATGGTAAAAATGATTAGTTTTAGACATTTCTTGACCATCAATATGTATCATAAGCTCTCTTCTTTTTCTAGTTTTACTAAAAATACACTCCTTATATTCTTTTTTATTCTGCTAATTCTAAAATCTTTAGATTCAAGAGCTTGTCTTTATCTTTGTACTTTAAAAATTATATCTCTTCTAGTTTCATTAACTACCATTATATCATCTGTAAATAACATACACCATGAGATTTTATCTTGAATTTGCCTAGTAAGTTGGTCCATAATTAATGCAAAAAGATAAGGACTTAAGGCTGATCATTGGTGTAAAACTATCATAACAGAAAATGGCTTAGTCTTTTCTTCATTAGTTCTTACTCTAGTTATTATCCTATCATGCATATCCTTTAATCACATCAATATACATAATACATGTTTCTTTTCTAAAATTCACCACATTATCTATCTAGACACCTTATCATAAGCTTTTTCTAGAACGATAAAAAACATATATAGATCCTTTCTCTTCTCTCTATATCTCTTCATCAATCGTCTCGAAATATGTATAAGTTTCATAGTTGACCTCCCAGGCATAAAACTAAATTTATTTTTAAATATACTTGTCTTCTTTCTTAGTCTTTGCTCAATTATCCTCTCCAAAAGTTTCATAATATGACTCATGAGTTTTATACCTCGATAATTTGAATAACTTTTTGTATCTCCTTTATTCTTGTCTCCTTTATCCTCTCCAAAAAACATATATAGATCCTTTATTCTTTTATATCTCCTTTATTCTCTCTATAACTCATCCGCATTCTCTTTTTCTTGATAATCTTATTAAATAATTTAGTTAACCATCCTAGGCCTATATTTTCAAGATATTTCTAAACTTTAATAGGGATACTGTCCGGTCCTAAGGCTTTTTTACTTTTTATTTTCTTTGGAGCATCTTTAACCTCGCTAACCCTAATTTTTTTGACAATATCCTTTTTTTACAATCTCTATTTTGCTAACTTGTTTGGCTATCATTAAACAATTAACGAAAGTAACTCCTTCATCTCTCTTTTATTTCCCCGTCGGTTACTAGAACTCTTTCATCTTCACTTTTAATATAGCTAATATTATCTCTACTCTTCCTTTCTCTAATCTTAGCAAGCCTATGCAAGAGATTGGGTTCGAGTCTACCTGAGGCCAAACAAGTGCTTGTGCTTGTGGGCCGACTGCTTGGAGAGAGCTACTATGCAAGAGCTTGCAAAGCGCCTAAGAGGCTCAAGTCTGAGAGCTCAGACGAGTCTGCAAAAGGCTATTATGCAAGAGTCTGCAAAGAGCTTGAGAGTCTCAAGCCTGAGAGTTTAGACGAGTCTCCTTCAACAAGGGAGCCTTTAGCAAGTGAGCCAAGGTTCAACCTTTAGGAGCTGGAAGACTAGTCGGCAACATGAATTCAGCCCAACCAATCTCAGTAGCAGCCCCGATCAGTTCTTTTTCCAAGAAGAGGAATAGAATCTGTCCCCCCCCCCTTCACGTGGGCAAGGATGTCTTATAAATAGGCAAGGGATGACATGGGTCATCCCTTGATTTGTGGGATATGACTATGTAGGCAATAAAAATTGCCTTTATCCCTACACAGCAACATGGAACAGGCAAAAGAGCTTAAGGGTCCATCTGTGGGAAGGCAAGACGACTCCCTTAGGGTCCAGCCGACTCAGCCCTCCCTCGTCGACTCGAAGGGCCAGCCGAGAGCCCTTCGTCGACTCGAAGGGCGGCCTTAGTCAACTCCTCTTCCCGGAGTCGACTCGTCGAGAGCCCCTCGTCAACTCGAAGGGTGGTCTCAGTCAGCACTTTGAAGATCTAGGTGGATGAAACCCCCTGTGTCGACTCGCCCTCGCCTCAGAGACCTCAGGACAAGACCAAAGAGCTGAGACCTCTCGTGTCAACTCGAAGGGCGACCTCATCGACTCGAATGCGGCTGAGACCTCTTGTGTCGACTCGAAGGGTGACCTCGTCGATTCGAATGTGGCTAAGACCTCTCGTGTTGACTCAAAGGG